TGGTCGCTAAGAAAAGAATCTGACTGAGAAACCCATCAGTGAGGGACATGTGCCGTGCAAGCTGTAATTAAAACACAAATTGTACCACAGTTCGCAGGCCTTTCCACAAATCTTTTTGCCCAATCCACCTGTGAATAATGTAAGTGGAAGCTGTAACTCCACTGACTTGCTGTTTTTCCAGTGTGTGGGCAAGTGTGAGAGCTCATAAAGTGGAGGTTTCCAGGGTATTGCACCATCCTTGAGTGAAATACAATAACCAGTCCCCAGAACTGCACTTGCAAGAAAAAGGCTGCGGTCTAGTGTTATGGCTTATGGCAAATACAGCCAAGTTCATTTTCTCTCCCACGATAATGTTTGGCATGATCCACTAATGCAAAAAGAAATGGTTGTTGAAATGATAAGAACTGACTCATCGACTGATGAGAGTAACTGGGGGACACCCAGCACTGCTTTTCTGAGTCAAATCGAAAAAATCAATTCTGTAACGTTTGAAAGCTTGTGATTTATCTATTTGTAACTTGATAATAACAGGCCCTTTTCCTGAAGAACATAAAACGTCACACATTATTTTTAAAGGGAGCATATGAAATCCCTATTGCACAAATCAGACAACACCAGAGGACGAGCAAAATATTTTCCTGCTCACTGTCTTGTTTGCTCAGGCAAACACACAGAACGCTGGAAAACACAACAGTCTTCTTTTGATCTACAGTGCTTATTAATTCAATCTGCCTGTGTCTGGTGTTGGGCATCGCTTGTTTAGCATATGCTGGTGAAAAGGAAAAGTGGAGCATGCTCATTGATTTGTCTTATATAGATGAGCTTTTTTCACCCCTGATGACTAGGCGAGCATCAACATTGTCTATTGTGGTGCAGTGTGTGCACTAACAAAGATATCAGCTTGTGACTCACTTTTTACTCACGCCTGTAATGAGAGCTCTTCCCCTGCTGCTGCAGTCGCACCCACTGCTGTTGCATGTGCACCAGCATAAAACCAGCGATGTTAGACTGACAGTACCTCAGAAACAGCTCTGACACAGTGGGATTCATGTTCATGTAGTGTTTTAGTTCCTTCATGGGATGGTTTTGTGAGGATCAAGTCTTCACTGGTGTAGATCAATCAGGGTATTGCACCCCAATTGTGACGAGGTACGTGGAAAGCCCTCAGCTAACTACTCACATGTTTGTGTTAAGAATGAAAATAAAACAGCAAGAAGCAATAGCCTCTAAAGTGCCTTACCAGTCAGCTGTGACACCACTTATTGCAAATCAAGGGTCCATGATAATTACAAGCAAGCAGGGAAGTTGAATAGATAGTTAAACCATTCATTACTTTTAGCAATGAATGAATAGTCAAAATGGTTAAAGTTGCTAATGAATAACCAGTTGAAATAGTTAGCTAAAAGTACTCAATAAACAGTTTTGAAGTAGTTATCAAAATTAATCATAGTTAAAAGTAATGACGCACTTGAAATAGTTAGCTAAGTAAAATAAAACTAAAAGTATGTGTAGGTAAACAGTTTAAATAAATACCTAAATTTACTTAACACTTAGCCAATAGTTAGCTAAAAGCAAGGGGTAAACAGTTTGAAATAATTAACAACACTTGGAACAAACATTTAAAATTGTTAGTTAAAAGTATTCAGTAAACAGTTTACATAAGCAACAGTTGAAATAGCTAAAAGTCATGAATGAGCAGTTGATAATGTTAGTTAAAAATAAAGAAAAAAACAGTTGAAATAGTTTATTCACAACAGTATATTTGGATGGTGTTGATGAGGGGACACTTGAGCTCATTTACTTACAGAGAACTCACAGGTACGTCCAGTGCTAATACTTGGTGGGTGTGCCTAATGCTTGGTATCGGCCAATCACAGGTTCCCGGGCTTTCGAGAAAGCTGCCATACCATTGTTTGCCATGGATGCCAGTTTGGTAGAAAGGGTGGCTAATATGCCATGCTAGCCGTACGTGCAATGCTAAAGGGAAATACACAGGAAATAAACTGAATGACAGAACTGTAACAGATGAACACATACCAGATTCCCCAACTACCTCCTCCACCTCTATTCCAGTTTGTGACCCAGTACGTACATAAACTTCGGACCTACACCCACCCTGCTCTCTCGGGATGTTTACATAAACATGATTTGATTGGCTGGCACCTGCGCTGGAGCATTTGCATAAATGTGATTTGATTGACTAGCGTCTGTGCTGGAACATTTGATTTGATTGGATGGTCCTTGCTCCGCTTCGAGGAAACTTTTAACTTTTCTCAACTTCTACCACAAGCAATGCAAGCAAAATGAAGCAACAGAACCACAAAGCAGTTCAGCGACACATGACATCACCCCATTCAAAATGAATGAGAAGTGTGTTGTCGAAACCTCCAACGTGAACGTGTGAGCACCATGCCAGAGCTGTGGGCGTACATCGGACGAAAAAAAAGCTTGGAAACCACAGTTGTAGTTATAAAACTACATACCTGACAATCACAACACGGTAAAACATAATCGCTGCTGTTGGACTGCAGGAATATGACTATCACTATAATACAAAGGCACAGTGCGAAATGTGTTTTTCCATTGTTCAGTGTGTGAAATGTTGAGTGGAGTGCAGCTCTGCATTTATGTTCAATAATCATGATGGTGACACCACAAAGAAAAGTGTACTTTCCTGCACGCAGCTATGGGAACACTGCAACTACAAACGTCAGAGCTGCTCCTCCGTCTGTCTCTGGCAAAACCACCTACACTCCATGACTCAGTCTGTGTTTGCTTTTGTTTTAAGGACAACTCGAGCATCTCAATTACTCAGCCAGTTCTCTCGGGTTGCGGAGGATCTTTTGGATATGAATCTGACTATAGAGCTTCATGTTATACACACCACAGAGAAAAACAATTTTTGCTTTTAAGGAAGGCCATCCTTCCTTTCTGATTTATTTGTCATTACATTTGAACATGTTTTTATTTGCACTATGTACATGTTGCCTTGACACAAGATAGGAAAAAAATCCCAAAACATAAATGTAATTAAAAAATGTAATCTTCTTTAATTCGGCTTAAGAGCATGACACAAAGAGAGCACTATCACCCTGGCATTGAGGAATGCATTCAGCAAATGTCTTTGTCACGTGGATGTGTACATCAGCTCATCACAATGAGAAGGAAAGAACAACTGCATTGAAACCCACATACTTTTGTAACACACTGCACAATACCAGGTTGCCAAAAAAGCCAGATAAAAACACATCATTTTAATGACACGCTACATAACACAAAGCATGTTCATCATTTTCAGCAATAAAACTTTCTCCAAGAGATGAAAGCAAACATTTCAGTATAGTTACAGTGATGGTCATGATGTGTGCATACACTGATGTGGGATCAGTAGCTCATGAGTTACCACTGGGACATGTGTTCAGAAGGGGTCAGAGGTCATAAGGCAAAACTTATAAAGTGTAATAACCAGGTCTTCAGATGACCAGAAACTCAATGAGGTGAATATAGGGCCCCATACAAACAGCTAGAAATCAATCGGCATTCAGTTTATCATGGTCTTTATCTGACTGATGGTTTCTCGTTCAGGCAGCCACAAATAAAATTCAATCAAAAGTTTGAAGTCTTCGCTGCAGTTTCATATAAAGCAAAGCACACTGGAAACCTCCCCTCACGGAGAATACGGGCAGTATTCACTCTTCATTAGCACAACACAACTGTCTTCCATGTTTATTTTAAAATGTTCACAGAGCCGAGGATGTGTAAATGGATTGTTTACTTGCAGGGTTTGACAGCAACCAGTGACGCCAAAAGTGGCTTATTAGTGAAATTAATGTGGTTGTGCTATTTTAGGGCTATGCTCTAGAGAGTACACATTCCTTCAGAAAAAGCCATTACGGGGATCTAACTGTGCACCATAAATGTCAGGTATGACTAATGTAGGAACTGTGCAGGGAAAACTAAGTATATAATGTCACCTCTTGAGGCTTAACTGCTTGAACCCAGCATCTGCCTGCTTTATAATCTACAATATAGAAAATACGGACTAAAATCTCAGTAATTAATGAGCCCTTCATACAAAGAGGATCAGTGAATTTGTTTGTTGAGTGTCTTCTTTTTCGTCTTGAGTAAGAATTCTTGAAACAAACTGAAATGTCTCAATGCTTTATTACCACGGAGCGCTCTCTGCTTTAATAGCTGGATTGAGGGATGTGGGTTAAAGTATTGCAAAAAATATGAGCCCCTTCACAGCCTGATCAATTTTAATTTAAGCTTTTTTATGATCTGACAAAAACAAGCTCTAAATCCGATCAATCATGCGTAGCAGTACACCGCTGGCATAGCTAGAGTCATGCAAAGAATAATTGATCACAGCTACATTCAAAGCTGTCAGACTGCGACACTTTGTTTGTGTATGTGCAGTCTTGGAGGAGATGTAAGGCCCGACTTTTAATGACATCATCTATGTGGTTTATAACTTCCACATCCATTGTGAATGGCTGATGCTTCATTTCACATCGAGTTACCGGATGCAGCATTTTTTTTTTGTTGTTGTTTTTTTTTTTTTTTTTTTTTTTTTTTTTTTTTTTTTTTTTTTTGGGGGGGGGGGGACACTGGACGCCGTTTCCCCTGAATTTCTGACCATCTGGCTACCTCACATCTGTGCTTTACTTCAAAGGCTATAAATGAACATTCCTTAAAGTGAGATCAATCAAGGTGCCTTTAGACAGCAGGGAACATAAAAAGACAAACATAAAAACAAAGCACATTTGCATGAATGTAGGCAAACTATATCTGGCATAAACAGATTTTGTTAGACTTCAGGGCACGCCTTTAAAGGATGGACACCTTCTCCGAGGTAAAATACAGGCCTGAGGCTCCATTGAGATTCTTGTAATTCATGCCAGTGCATATTGTTCAGTATGAAAGAAAATAGCCTCTGTTCCTGACTATGTGATCTTTTTTTTTTTTTTTTTTTTTTTTTTTTTTTTCAACCTCTCAAGAGTTTAATTCTTTATTGATGGAAACTATTATCAATAGTTCTGTATTTTTTTCTAAAGTTTTTCCAGAAATGAAAGCCCTCATTTGTCATGATTTAAGAAACTGTGCACATAGTCATGTATTTTTTTTTATCTCCCACTGCGAGGCAGTCAGCCCAGGGACAAATGTAGCCTCGGTATTTGGAGTTGATGAGGGCAGATCGCGGTCTATTAAAGACAGTCCTGGTCGGCAGACTGAGATGACAGGTGACAGGACTCCATAGAGAGGCTCCAAATTTAACAGCAGCTCAAGCAACAATAACATGGAGTTGGTTTAAGAGTGATTTTGTGTTGATTTCTAACCATCCTCAACCTCGGCTCTTGAATAATTGCTTAGGAGTTATCACCTCAGTCCTATCACCACAAAGTTTCTGTAGGGGTCTTAGAAGTTAAAAACCAGCCAAAAGAGGATGAAGCCAACAGGGGTTTAAGTCAATGGGATTCAAACTGGGCTCCAACATGGAATACTTCCATTACTCAAACCCTCTCCCTGTCTCAACAGAAAAAAAACTTTGTCTATCCCCAAATCCCCCTTCTTCTCACCCTCAAGCTTGACCTCTCTCCAGTCACTGTGGCTAATCTTGGCTGACAGAGGGCCTGTAGGGAGAGAAGGCTGGAAAGAAAGGAAGGTGGAGGGAAGAAACTGTACATCCCCAAAAACTTTCCTCGAAGTCTGCAGGAGCAACGCCGTTCCCCAGAGGGGGTTGTTCTCTTCCTGGGTTCCCCGGAGGTGCGTGGAGGGAAGGTGCGGCTGCTATATGCGTCCTGGTTTAGAAAGGTAGGCAATGAGAGCAACCACCACCCCCACATACACACCAGTGCCTATAGTGATGGAGAGGGCAGCGAGGAACAAAGCCCGTCGGGACGCGATGTTGGCCAGTGGGAAGTCACCTTTGTTCACCGCCTTGGTGGTCTGGAAAAGAGAAAATGTAAGACAATAGGAAAGTCAGATGCAGTTTGGAGGCACCTAAAGTGAAAGAGTGACCCATTTTTCAAAAGAAGCATAATTAGAGAAGCTGTTTGTTATTTCTGTGGCAGTGTGGAGGAAAGAAAAAAGAAGGGGATTGGAGTTGGAGGTTGGGCCCATTGACTGAGTGGCTCAGTGTAACCCAGGAGAGCTCATCATGCATGGCAGGACTGAGAAATGGCAATTAGTGTGAAAATGTCAAGGACTGGATGTTATGGTCATCTCAGCTGCTAGCACTGAAGGATAAACGACACAGGAGAAAAGCAAATTCATCATCATTTGTAATCAAATACAAAAAAAAAAAAACCCCCACAAAGATGTTGCATGGAGGATTTTAAAATTTATTTTTTTCCAGGCAACCACTCCATCGTAATGACCCAGTTACCATGTATTTAAGGTTATAGTGCATTTTTACAGCCCACTATAGGCGCATATAGATCCTCTCTGTGGTGTTGTGTTAACTGTTCAGCTTAAATAACAGCACTACCGAAGTGTGAGTCACTGACCACAGTGTAGAGCAAGTGAAATTTTTCTTTTTTAATCATGTGAGTCATGTCAGCTACAAAACTCATCTAAACAACCGTTGGATCGAATTCGTCAACAACATAATTAATTTGAACAGAAACGACAAAAGTCTGGTCCATATTCAACACTGTTGATGCAAAAGCCCCGAGAATGCCTCTTAATTATTGTGTAAACAATATCAGACTGGCGTTAATTAATTAGCCAGGTAACAGGTAACAACATGTGTGGAAGTGGTGCTAAAAGAGATCATTGCTTCTTATCCTTCCATACTACCTGCACAGCTGAAATCAATAATTAGCCTAAAATTGCAACAATGGATAGTGATAGTGGTTGGAAAGTGGTTTGTCTCGTCTATCCTGTGCTTTGTTGATATCTTTGAAGAGCTGTTGTGTTGGGCTTCCTCTAGCTATCTTATTATTTGAATGGACTTGCTTGCCAGGAGAAAAATGGAGGATAAAGAGAGGCCTATTTTGATTTGTTGTTTTCATGCACATCCCTGAATAGAGGTCACAGTTAGTGTTACAGTGGCATTGTTTGGAATCTGTATTGGCTTTTCCATTTTCCATTTCCATTATCTTCCCCTAAACTAACTTTTGTTTTTTGTTTTTTTTTATTCCAAATGTCGTCACATGTTAATCTATTGATTTATTTTTTCCTTCTTAATGAATTCAGTGGTCGATAGTTGAGCGTGTTGCTAAATCCCAGTCATGATTTGTTCCGCCTATAACACAATTCATCCGTCAGACTATTGTGCTGATTGTACGCCGGCACAGTTTGAAATGCAGTGGCTGCAGAGTGTGTGTGAAATGACCTTCCGTATTCTTTTGAATCTATTAATAATGGAGCTGATGTGTGTGAATGTGATAAAGCAGGGTCAGCCCCTCCAACTCTGAAACCATGGTCATCTCATAAAAACCTGTCCTATTCATTTTGCAAACGATCCCAGCTCCAAGCATACAAGGTGATGTTTCTTATTCATAACTGAGGTTAAGAGGTATTGAAACTGCTAGTTAGATGCAGTGTCCGCAGTGATGTGGGTTTTGTATCAGACAGTGGCACTGAATAAAAAACTACACACCATAGCAAGACTCTTTACAAATCCTTGTTTTGACCTTTATCATTGCTAACAAGTTCTGAGATTGAGGATAAACATGGCTGAAATTAGGTTTCTTTGCAGGATGGATAACCTCACTCATCACAGCAGAGTGAGAATCTCAGAAATCTGGGAGAACTGTGAACCTGAACCTTTGCAACTACTTATTGAGAGGAGCCGGCTGGTTCATGTGCCTGGCCCTGTGGCTCCATCCTTTTTAGGTGTGCTCTGTGTGGTGAACTGAAGGGAGAGCCTGAGATGAACATACACTGACATAAAAACACATTGCTGGAGCACATTGACGTTCCCTAGGAGGAGCTTGAGGATGTTACTGTGAGCCTGACCCAGATAAGCAGCATGTCAAACTATTAGCAGGTGAATCGTAATTAACTGAATGCTTTTGTGCCTCAGGAAAATAGTAATAACCAAACAGTAGTGTTAACAGTTTGTGAATCTTTTAGTATCAAGTTAAGTTAAAGGTCCCATATTTTATATGTTTCCAGTGTTTGCAGTTTTAAGTACCAAAAACTATCTCAATATAGTCAAACATCTCACACTTCTCTCTGGGCCCAAGAACAGGGCTTTTTGCTTTGGTCTCTGAGCCTCTCCTCTGATTGGCTGACTGTTTTCTGAGTGACACATGGCCAGGCCAACCACAGGTAACAAATGCAAATGGAAAATGGTCAGTCAGGGCTGAAATGAGCAACAACAACAAAAAGGTTGGATGGAGGGTCCAGGCATGGCTGGGTGTGGTGACTGTGTAGTTGTGACATCACAAAGTTACTGAAGTCCAGACATCTTGTTTTAAGGCAGTTTCTGAATACGGGATATGTGGATTTCTCTGTGGATTGATTGTTTTTGATACTTTCACAGTATTTATACAGCAACTAGACCTGCTTTATAATCAAAAGATTAATGGAAATCTCACTTTCTACAATATGGGACCTTTAAAAGTCCATAATTATTTAAATTTGAAAAAGTCATTAACAAATAGCTAACACACAGGCTCATTGTCAACCTTTTTCTCTTTTGAAGTTTGCATTGGATAGGGCTGCACCTGGTTTACTTCATATTATTTAGACAGATGTTTTTCATTTTTTTGAATATTTACTAGCATTTTCATCTTTGCATCTGCCCATTTGCACTGCAGCAAAACAGCAAAAGATCACTCCCTTAAACCCAAACTTAAACCCAGACTTGTTTCTCAGCAAGTCAGTTCATTAAGACAGATGCAAATTGCATAAGACACACAGTGTGAGATGTTAGGTAGGCCTGGCTTTTGCCTGTGACATTGGAATAATGAGACTGAGACACTACAAAATACTGCTAAGGAAAGCAATTGCAGAAAGGACAGATATGAGCTCATTAGTATGTGTCCTTTCTGTATTTGCTTTGGAAGCATCACTGCATAATGGGGACTTACTCGTGTCAAGCGGTTTGTTGTTTGAGATGCATGTTCTTGATTATGATGATTGAACTTTACCATCTAAGGTTTATCTTCAGGGTAAGGAGACTTTTTTCAGACAATTATTTAAACAAGATCAGGTTTGTAAAACTTTATTCTGTATTTTCTACAAAAAAATGCAGTGAGAAAAAGGAGTCATACTTGCTGTGAGAAACTGACTGGTTATTTGAATAATTGACTTTCAGGAGGCACAGACTCCAACAGCCAACTTTAAATCTCACAGCATTTTTAACCACAGTACCCTCATCCACTGAACAGCATATTAAACTAAGAAAAAAAACTCAACCTACCATCCATCTGTGATGGCTGTTGTTACAACTAAAAAACTAAGCATGGGGTCTTTTCGCTTTGCTCCAAGTGTTTGATTAGTGCCAAGAAGGTTTTAGACAACAGTTCTTTATAGTCCAAGACAAAGACAGCCAGTTGAGAGCCAGAGAGAAAGAATCTTTTGACAAACACCTCGAAAGATCAGGAAGCAAATCCAGATAAAGGACATATATTCAAGGCATGGCCTTTAGCTTCCATGTCAATATAGTAATTATTGAAACAAAAGCACTGTTATGGAGGCCTTATGGGAAATTAGATTTAAATTTGCTTTCAAAATGAGCACATTCCGCATTTGAGGATGTAGCACGCCCCCTCACCACGGTCTTTAGACAGAGAAAATCCTAAAAAAAAGAGTCATAATGTGACAGTGGACAGTTTAATTCTCTCCACCACTGCAAGAGTTGAAGGGCACATGCACTGTCATTTCATCTCTCCATTGAAAGCATTTGTAAGTGATTTATCAAATTTTTTTTCTCCACTTCACACAAATAATCAAATGAAAGCATGTTGTGGCTCTCCCTGAGGAACAAGTCGCTGAAAGACTAAATATGATAATGCTGTAATGTGGACAACACAGATGAAAATAACCGGGTGAAAGTGTGTGCGTTTGCTTGTGCTGTTTTGTCTGTGAGCTTCAGCTTTGTACAACGTACTGAACATGTCAATGTGAGGACTTTTCCTTGAATCCCCTTGAGAGAGAAATGGTTAGAAGCATTAAAGCTTTATCTCCACAACCTTGACAAAATGATTGAAATGTGGTGTCATAGAAAAAACAGATAACATCTCAGACTTAGCTGCATGGAGACACATATAGCGATGCGCTCTCGGAAGTCAATTCAGCATCCTTAACAGGTTTTTCTTCCAAACAAACAACACATAAAGCCCAAAATCTCTCTCTTTGTCTCCCCCTCTCTGTGTCAGTCTCTCGACCTCCCTCGCGCAGACACACGCATGCAAATACATAAACTGTTTCACAATAATTAGCTCATTCATTTTCACCCATTATGATGACTTGTATGCCATAAGATAACTTCAGGGGAGTCTTATTTGCATAATCGTGAAAGGAATCGCTGCTGCTTCTCAACTCTGCACTTCCCAGCGCAGATGTCTCAGAGCTGAGAGAAACATTTATCAGCATCTCCAAACAAAACACTCACCCTATTAGTGGCAATAATTCAAACTCAATTCCGCTTCCCAATCAAATGCTCAACGCTAATTTTCCCCAGATATTCATGGTATTCTAGTCATTATTGGTTGTCTGCTTGTGTGTGTGTGTGTGTGTGTGTGTCTGTGTGTGTGTGGGCGGTTCACGCTGAATCCTAAACTATGCAGCACTATTTAACATAAAGATGTTGCACAGTATTAAAGATGTAGTCTGTAGGCAAATAGGATACAAGCAATTTAAATCAGCACATGAATGCATGTCTGTGTGTGTGTGAGTCACTCAGCTCCTCTGCTTAAGAAGCCATGCAGCGGCTCTCTCCGTGTGACTGGGCCTGACCTTCCAGTGGGACAAAAACACTATTGATCTGCCGTCCACAGACTCTATTAAAGTTGCTAACCTGTTTGTTTGTAAATGTCCTCGGAGTAAGTGGTGAAGCTGATGTGCTATCATTTTTAACTTTTCTTCTTGGCTCATTCTGCTGCCCTTGTCAAATCCCATAATCCATCAGCTTATGCCGCTCCATGAAGGCAGAGGGCAGTAACCAACCTGAACTATATAGGTTGGTTGTCTCTACCCTCTGATAGTACTCCTCAGAGTAAGGTGTACTGGACCTGCATCGTCATGGTTACATTAATAAACAAGTGGTTAAGCTTGTGGATTGCTCAAAGTTTGGGTAGGTTTAGGCACAAAAACAACTTAGCTAGGTTTAGGAAAAGATCATGCCAGATCAATAAGCACACGGTTAAGGTTGTGGAACGGTCATGGATGAAAGAAACAATGAGGATTCAAATGGGAAACTAACAGTGGTCTCCTGAGTTCACATCATATTGATTATAATATAATTATAAGCAGCTGAGTAGGAAAGATTGTTCACATCAGGCTCTGAGTTGTAACTTTGAGCTATCATCACTGGTAGTTACATCTAAATAAAGTCCACTATTGACACTAAAATAATCAGTTCAGCTAATATCTTATGTAGGTCATTTATAGTGTGACTACATGGCTACTAGTTTCAATGTCAGTTTGAGTAACCATTGTCAGATAAATTGTAAAAGCAGTGGAATGAAGGCATATTCACCTTATCACCAAAAAAATGTTTTTGCATGTTTCTCTCCACTATAGTCAATGTGATGTGTTGCAATGTGCTGATGTCTGCAGGGCACTAAAAGGAACATTTGTGGATGCATCGCTGTTGATGATTGCCAACTGGAAGACAGACAAAAATTACTTTAGTTTCTGAATTTCCAGAACAGTACAATCAAGACTGGACAAAAAATATAATATGATGTGTGAATGCACTACCAGGTTTTTTTTTTTTTACAGAAACACAAAGTCTCTGAAACATAGCCATCTCCTGCTAGCAACATTAGCATTTTAGCTAAGGTGGCAACATTTAGTATAGTGTCGGCAAGAGTTTTATGTGGTAAGTTTCTGTTGACCAACACAAAACATGCAGCAGGAAGGAATTTCTTCAGATTTAGTTCAAACATTCACCTGGACTCAAGAATAAACTGATTACAATTTGGTGGTCAAAGGACATTTTATAAAAGGTCAAAGGTGACATCATAATGTTCTACAAAACACTTATTATTCAATGCTGTAATTCAGGAAGGGGAGATTGTGACCATATTTCCTGCAACTTGGCTGGTTGGTGGAGGCATATGACCGCAAGGCGCTAATTCTAGTTTTGCTGTGATGTCATTAACGGGAGATGTTCTATGTCGCTTTTTAGCAAAACTAGCTTAACTGGTGTTACTGTTTTTTCACCATTATGAAGGGATGTAGCTACTGCCTTAGTTATGTGGGATAATAAACTGAATTACAAACACATGAGATAAAAAATGATTGGTCACTTAAAAGCACAGAGGTAGGATGACATAGGTAAATTTAGCTTTAGCTAAGGCTAACTGTGATTACCTCACCTGGTAACTTTAGCTTAAAAGAGATTTCCTGCTAGTTCCTGCTATAATAAGGGAAAACAAGTGACAAACAGTCAGATTATGATATTACTTACATCTTGTCCATCTAGGTTGTTACTGTCTGTCAATACAGATCGATGCACATTTCCCTCGGTACCAACAGAGAGGCAGAGGAATAAGTTCACACGCATAATCAAATTTCAGCTTGTCTTCTGCTAAAAACGTACAATATCCTCGTGTTAACTCCCAAAGAATTAATTCATTTAGTGAGGGGGGGTGGGGTGGGGTGGGGGCTTCCTGAACAATTGAACGAAATGAAGACCAGTGAAGGGGTTTATTGAGCTATAAAATGAAGCGATCTCAGACTCCCACCGTATCTTTTCCTGACAGCTCCTCTGGACGGCACCTTCTAAAGGAGGGAGATTGGCAGAAAAGCCATCCATCCCTAAACACAGCCATCACTTCCCCATAATTACCCAGGAAGAATCAAATTAGCTCCTGACAAGATAATTCAGTGACTGCCTTCATCTGCCTCGGACTCCTCGTGCCCACGGATAAGACAGCTAAACGCTCGAGCTTTTGATAAGATTTTATAGTCAAAGGCGGAGCAATTTACTGAAACCTTGTCCGTCTCCAGTATGTGTGTGTATGACTGGATGTGTAAACCTGTGATTTTAAACATACACTGTATGTGTGTGTTAATGTGTGTGTGCCACTGATTGCCCTTTAACATATTTTGCCTTTTGAAGTTGATGGTGCACTTAAGAGTGCCAGAATTGATTAGCAGCAGGAAAAGTGGCGATCACTGTGCTCTTTGCTTGACTGACACACCATCATCGGAGTTGTTTCCTACAGAATTGAAAAGGGAAGGAAGTCCAGTTGGAATCAATTAGACAACCATTATGTGCAGTTTGCTGATGTTACTGGCTAAGAACATATTGGCAAAAGCTTCAGAATTAACAGCGTTCCCTTGTCAGCTTGACAGATCGTATTGGCTCATTCTCTTTGGAAATAACTGCTGTCTTTGAATAACGCATCGATTGCTGTTGTTAAAAAAAAACTCTTACCACTGTTTAAGGTGGGTGTTTAAGGTCAAGATTAAAAGTGGAGTGAGGACAGTCAACATGTATGAACCAACACATGATGTAACCTTTCAGATCACCAACACATCTTCACATCAAAGAACAACACTGTATCTCTGGCAAGACAATATTATATTCAAGTGTACTTGCGTTAGTACATGTATAATGTCGAGTGCCAAACTATTACCCGTAATAGACACACTGCTTTTAGTGTGTTTTCATGCATTTCTTATCTGAAATTCTACTTTCCAAATAACAGCTCAAACTGTTTAATGTGTCATCACCTTTAATACGTCGGCACACCTGTAATTGTGTTCATTCCCAGTCCCCTTAAAAACTCCACTAGTTCAAAGGCCCTCTCTCATCTTAGTATTTTAGACACCTCCGTTCTTGGAGTCTATGGATAGAGCCTTGGAGGTGATTTATATACTCTTCCTAAAGGCACCTTTCAGCCTGTTTACAGAGCATCGAGCAGCCATTACAGATTGGCCTTGAGTTATCGATGGGCGACTCAGTAAAAAGTGGCCTCGCGTCGGTGGAAAGCAAGTCAGCTGTCAGTCTTTTATTTTTTTCGTGTGATAGCCCTTAATCTCTGGGTGATGAGTCACGCACAGAGCTGGGTATGCGCCTGTGTGTTGTTGTGCTCGCATGTCTACGAATGCATAGAAATGTGTCTGTGAATGTGGGTTGATGCACCTGTTTTTATGTAAGACCTAGACAAAGAGATGTTGTATCATCCATGTGTGACACAAGCACAACTTTGGAGGTGGTTGCCTGACATGCACATGTTTTCTATATGTGTATGTATGTGTGTGTGCGTGTCCTCACCCCCTGTGAGAAGTAAAACGCTGCAATCCCCAGAGGCCAGAAACAGCAGAGCATGGAGAAGATGGCCAGGCCGAGGTGGTCTCGTGGAGGGACGACAATGAAGTTGTCCTCGCTCTCACTGTCGCTGGAGCAATCCGTCTGCACAGAGAATAGCAATTCAGGTCAAAACACACACACACACACACACACACACACACACAGGCAGACACGCACACATTTTGTGCCACTTTTGTTTGATCTGCACAAAAACTGAAGTGTAAAGGTGAGAAGTCGTGTTTTGTTTAGTTTTTTATTTATTTGGGTGGGGTGGGGGTGGGGGGGGGTTATGTGTGCAAGTGGCATCCTGGCACATGTCACGAGTCTGAATCTTCATATATATTGTCACAAAGACATTAGACTGGTATCAAGCTTCTCATCTAACGCTCGGCAAGAAAGTGAAGAGGCGTATTTTCCAAAATGGAGAACCATTAATTCACAGCAAACAAGTTAAAATTAATTGTAACTTCAGAAAAGACACTCATCCTACAAACATTACAGTTGACAGCTTTAGTCAAATCCCCCAATCCTTAACATGTCATTTACTCACAACACCCAACAACACCCCTCTGGGCCAATCATACACAACAAAAGGTGTAACAAGTCCGTGCATTGATTTCCTATAGTTTTTGTAAAGGTTTGATCATTGCTGAAGTAGCTCTGGAGACAGACAGGTGGATTGAGGCAGATTTTATTTGGAAAAATGAAAGAAGAAGTTTTGCCTTGTGCACTGCAGTCCGTGCACAGGTAGATGTGATTTTCAAGTCGACTGGGTGGGGAAAAGAATGTGCGTTCATTGAGAAAGAAAAAGGCATTTGTGTAATGGGAAACAAAACATAGACGAGTCGCCACATGCGGGGTCATTTGCTTCTACGTAATGTCACAGCTCGTATTCATGGTCTTTTTGCGATGGCCCATTAGTTTCTCATTAGTTTTGAGATATGCAGATCCCTACATTTTGGCATCTAAACAACAGATGGCATTAAAAAAAAGCTACGGTTGAAAGTACTCTTCATTTCAGATGTGAAATAGTTATGAATCAAACGCACCTCCTCCCTAAAGCTTTATGAAACTATTTCACGCTCCATGCAACATTCCTCACATGGAACTGCAACGCCTGCAGCAAAAGAGAATAGACACTCGTACATCTGCATACAGATTCTCAGTCCTGATCCACAGAAAGAAATATCAGTACGCTTCACAATATTAAAGTTGGTTTGTTATGGCCACTTTAACCTCTAACATACAGATACGCAAACACTCATTTGCAGTTGATCTTCCCCAACAACGAAGACAAGACTAGGATTAGAGATTTATTTTCCACCGTGTCTGTGATGAAAAGAAGTCGCAGATTGAGGCCACGGTTTCTATAAGAGCAATTAAGATGCATCCTTCACACATCATCCTGTTTGAGGGATGAGCCAGCATCAGCACGGAACATGAAAAATAAATGAAAAAAAAAAACAAAAATCAAGGTTAACAATATACTGTTTTGTCAAAAAAAAAAAAAAAAAAAAGAGTTCAATATTAAATTGAACATTTCAATCAGAGATGGGGGGTAAATCAGGCAAGTGATGTGGACACAGAGGAGGCCTTACTGAATTTACACAAAGATGGTAATCTGACGAAGGACATGCCCCTACCACCCTTGTGCTTTTCCTGATTTTTTAGCAATGGGACATCTTGTCAACATGTAATCCTTTATTTTAAAGTATTTTCAGTGGGTTTATAACTCTTAATCCCTGCATGGGTTCTTGGTTGTGGTGTGCCTAATGAATTTGGACTTTTATTTCAAATACCCTCAGAATACAGTGTTTAAGCTTTATCACACTCTGGTATTTCATTTTAAATATATATATATATATATATATGTCTTTTGATTTGTCGATATGTTGAGTCTTCCTGCTGAGCGGCAGCCCAGCCTGATGTACAGCGTGTTGGCCACGAGGCTGCATTGGAATAACACATGTTGTGTTAAATGGAATTGTTGTCTTTTCTGGCTGACTTCCACCAGGCTCATGACTCACTGCAAAATCCCAACGATAAAGGGCACGGAATTGTTTTTCTTTTTATAACTTTTATTACTTTTGGAGGCATTTTACACCTGTATTACACTGTGAACAATTGAGAGATCACAGGGAATGAAGGAGAGAGATGAGGAATGACCCAGGGGGACGCTCTATAGCTGATAGTCAGTGCTGCAACCTCAAGGCCACCAGGGTGTCCTGAGCTTGCTGAATTTATTTTATATTGCTACATTTAGGATAAACATTACTGGAAGAATTTACATTAGGTTCAGATTAATACAAAAGCATGTTTTTGTGCATGAGTGATTTAAATAAACAAGGGCACTATGGACCACTCTATTAAAACCTGCAATTTGTGTTATGTATGAGTGTTTTATTGCAATAAGAGAGAGTGCACTTCAGTGGTGTTTGCTTTGTAGTAAAAGTTAAATTACTCAAGCTAGGTAAGAGTGTTAGGAAAGCATTTGCTTTGAGAGGTGAAACAGTTTTCAATTAATTTTAATAACACACACCCCTTATAGCCGGTTTGAATGATTGATGATGAGGTTTAGTGAGTGGGTGGTTGAAATGTGTTGGGGCCCTGCCCACTAATGGTAGGGGAAGCACTGGATTGATTTTCTTCAAAAAATAGACCTATAGAAGGAAAAACAAGTGTATTAAACTCCAAAACCCAGAGAATACGCGAAACCTTTCCAACCTGCCTGTGCACTCAAAGACAATGCCACTCTGTGTCATCAAGCTATACTTATGAACCTGTTAAAAAGCTGTGAGCACAAGCTCCTGTTGAGAAGATCGATATGTTTTCATTTTCTTCATAATGCAGCTCTGAGGCAAAAAAGGTCATAACACATGAGCATAATGCAGCCTCCATTCTGCATAATGTCATTCTGCTGTCATGGCCTTAAGCAAGCGCTATAGTGCAATCTCTGCAGAGACAGCCCTGCTCTGCTCTGTGCCTTAGAGCTCACTGACAATATCTGCACAGCCTTCTGGCTGTTTGGAGAATGAAAACACACATCATCCAGGGATCCTAGCTGTTTGGTTTGGGTTAGGTAACCAGGCAAGAGAGAGAGAGAAGTTGGAGAGGCAGAGGAAGTCAGTCAGGCAATAGAACAATGAGGTCGGCTGGAGTCAGTACAGACCTGCAGACAGGTCAGCATGCACAGGAAGTAACATGCAGACCTGCCGGGCATGTACAGGAAGGTCATTAATCATAACGCTTTCAAATGGTTGCAGGAGATCCAGAGCAGATGAAAAGAGGCCACCAATCCCTCTGCAAGACTGCCCCATGCACCCATTATTATAATGGTGTGATCACACCATAATCTCTTACTTTTCCTCAAATCTGTGTCATCCAAATTCTAATCAAACTCTCAGGAACCTTTGCTCAAAAGTTACAGATCGCAAAACTACTGATAGGCCTTTGGATTTGCTGAGAGGCTGCATTTGGCTTAAAGGAAACAGAATTTTGTTTACCAATTTTCGACCTGACTTTTAATGAGCGTGTGTGTGTGTGTGTGTGTGTGTGTGTGTGTGTGTGTGTGTGTGTGTGTGTGTGTGTGTGTGTGAATGCGTGCACATTGTCATTCATTCACCACCTCCCCAGTACTAGAAAGTCCTAATGACTATGCATGTTGGCGCTGCTAGCTGCGCTCAGATATGTCTTGTGGGGCATAAATCCTGTCAGCATGAGGCAACAGGCTGACAGGTAACGAAGAGCTAATGGATGGTTTCACCACTCTGCCATGACAGCATAACCAAGAGGAGGGCTTGTGTAATTTATCTGTTGCCAAACTGCCTCCACAACATACAGGAAATGTGTCCCTGTCCACTTTCTTTTTTTTTTAACTCCCTGTTCTCCATTCTCCAAACCTGGACATTTGTCTAGGAGTCTTTTGTCCTGATTTTCTGTCAAGTAAATGTCTCATAGCATGTCTCCTGTGTGCATCAGGAATGCAGGTAATCATTTTAAGATGGGTGTTTGGGTGAACATCCATTTTAACACCCTATACTGTGTGCAAACCCTCCTACAGGCTGTCACATTATTTGATTTCTTTTTTATTTGTGATATGCAAACCTACTAAAGAGCACGTCTCCCGATTGATGATGATTCCTGTCCATAATTTACACATGGTAGGAAAATAAATGTAGAAAGGCACATGGTCTACATGTTGTGACTGCAAATAGACACAGTAATCTGGCCAGAGCAATGTACATTTATTACATTTCAACTGCATATTTTTGGCTACATTTTAGTAAAAGAACGCTCCTCCGTACCATCCATGTGTCTGTACTTACTTGTCTGACTTTCCTTTCCAAATGAAATAATAATAAAAACATGACTATACCTTCTCTACTTACTTTACCTCCTTGAGGACATAAAGAGAGCAATCACTCAGTCCCAGTTTCCTTCATATACCCTTCTTTGATGCTTTTGAATGCAGATTCATGGCATGAGAGCTGACTTTTTAAATTAGACGCCACAGGCCTCTATAGGGAAAATGTGAATGTATCATTTCCCATTGCCATGTTATAAAATACATCCAACATAACGAGTCCATAGACAGACAGTAACAGTAAAATCAAAGAAGAAAGAAAAACCTTTTATATTTCAGCAACGCAGCAGCTTGCTTGAATATATAAGAGGGAAACTCCATACCACAAACACATCACAAATGAAAACACACTGACCACCCTGAATCAAATTAAACCACCCACAGAAATTAACTTTGTCTTTCACAGCCATTTTATGAAGCAAAAGCCAGCGGTTGAGATTACGCAAGTTAATTGCTTTACTTTACGGCTGCACAAAGGTATAGAGGGAGGTCTGGATATAGAAACAAACTACTTCACAACCAAAGGGAATTCAATTACTTGGCTGAATGCATAAGCAAAGTTAATGAGCAAATGCCATTAAAGAGGCAATACTGCACCGAATGACATTTTCAGCACATTTACAGTGAAGAGGTATTCATGGGAAATCACAAAAACTGCGCATGATGTTATCTTGTGTTATCTAGTATCTGCAACAGTGTCCTATGTCCATGGGAAAACATGCCATTTGAAAAGGGAGCC